TCACGGCCTCCGCTGCGGGTTCGTGCAGGAGCCGCTGCCCCGCGCGCGGGGGTCCCGCGGGACCGGCCCCTGGCCGGCTGGGGCGCCGGCCCGTCCGGCCCGGCCCGTCCGGGCCCGCTGGCCGAGCCCCGGCGCGCCCCGCCTCACCCTGTTCTCCAGCTCGGCCGGGAACTTGCTCTGGAACTGGCAGCGCGTGCCGCCGCTGTAGTCGCGCTGGATGAACACCTTGCCCGACACGGGCGCCTGCTGCGGCCTCATCGCCCCGGCCCGGCCCCGCCGCCGCCCCGCGCGCTTTGCGGCTGTCGCGAAAGCGCCGGCGCCGCGCCGGGCAGGCCGAGGGCGGAAGTGCTGCCCGCACCGCGCCGGGGCGCGGCACTGCGCAGGCGCAGCTCCGCCAGGCGGCTGAGCGGCCGTGTCTGCGCGTGCGTGAAGGGAGCCCGCGCTCCATTGGCTGCGCCATCACAGGCGGGGGGCGGGGCTCCGCGTGACTCCGCCCCCCCGCCGAGCACGTGGGACCGGCCCCGGGAACTGCCGGGAACGGCCCCGGGAACGGCCCCTCCCATCCCGGGAACGGCCCCTCCCATCCCGGGAACGGCCCCGGGAACGGCCCCGGGAACGGCCCCTCCCATCCCGGGAACGGCCCCTCCCATCCCGGGAACCGCCCCGGTGTCCCTGTGCCCCTCGCTGTCCCTGTGCCCCTGGCCACCATCCCAGCCCCGGCCGGCTGAGCGGTGCCCGCTGTGGTGCCAGCCAGTGGCTCGTTTATTTCAGCAGTTGATAAGACCCGTCCCCGGGTGGACAAACAGCTCGGGGAGAAGGCATTTGTTTCTCCAGTCCTGCTGTTTGCTCCCGCAGCTGGCCCTCCCCAGCCAGCTGGGGCTCCCGCCGGGAGATGATAAACGAGGGGAGCATCCCAAGGGGAATGAACTGCAGCACAGACGGGATGTTTTGGGTCACACTCCCTCTCTGCTGGGTCGGTGTCCGGGATGGTTTGGGTCACGCTCCCTCTCTGCTGGGTCGGTGTCCGGCAGGGCTGCAGGGCCAGACGTGCTTCCCATGCCCCCGGTGCCAGGGGAGGCTCCCGGGGCAGGATGTGCTGCCCGGTCATGGTGCAGGGAAGGGAAGGGAAGGGGGCTCTGGGGTCACTGGCTGCAGCACTGGGGGGGCCCAGGCTGCTTGGACACTGCCCTGGCACATCTGTCCCCCTCTCCATGGACACAGACTCCTGGCCCTGTGGCCCTTTGGTGTCAGAGTTCCCACCGACAGGGACTTCTCCATGCAGTAATTGAAAAATGCAAATGCCTTGTGCCCTTCCTGCAGGGAATCCCTCTGTGGGGCTGCAGCACTGACTCCCCTGGAGAAGCCAAACATCAC